ATCTAGCCTGCAAGTCACGCCTCAAGTAACGTTGCCAGCAGCCCACACCACTTTGACCCCTGCGTGGAACACGTAAGGGAGACCTTCAGCGAGGCAAGGACCGATGGTCATTGAGTAGGGGACTGGGGTGCATGGGGTTTCAGAGAAGGTAGCCATGGGAGAAGCTAAGGTTCAACATCAGGACGACCTTGGGGTCAATGGACCTCAGGAACATGAGGTGCAGTAAGAGAATCCTGTGGGGAAGGAGGTCCACATGGGAGACCAAGTTATCCAGCTCACTAGAGCAGAGTTGGATAGTATTATGGCTGAAGCAGTGGCCAAAGTTGGGGCACCCATCAAGGCTAATCTATTGGTTCCACAGCCACAACTGCAGAGAAGACCAGAAGAGATAGAGGTGAGGTCGTTATCATCATCGCCCACTGCACGCAAGCCGTCGCCAGTGCTACCGCCAAGGCAGTTGATTATTCCAACGCCAAAATATACGCCAGAGGGAGAAGAGCGTCGCCCTGCCAGACCAGAGAGAAAAAGAAATTAAATTCAGCCCGGTCTTCGACCTTGCCTGAGGAAAAAAACTCCAGCGAAAGAGAGGCACGAGACCGATTAGGTTATCTTCAAGCAAAAAAGGGAAAAGAGGGGGAGAAAGGAATCAAAGAGAAACTAATTCCAATTCTATATCATATGCAAACAGAAAAAATACAATGAATAGGTAGATAATTTAGAGCATCCGCATTGGAGCGTTTTTTCTTTCTGTTTAGATGACCCTTCCCCGTTTAATGCGTTTCACCCGTTCATTCACTAGTGGGTCCCTTGTCCCTGTTCAATGCTTTGAACGGCTCTTTGAGCCTTTTTTATTTTTATTTTTTGGTTTTGACGGCTCTTGTTGGGCCTTTTTTTATTCTTCTTATTTTTTCCATTTAATTTTAATGCATTTTTTTTCATTTAATTTAACTGTTTTTATATATATATATTTAATTCAGTTAATTCTATTTATATATATATTTTTTTTTATTTAACTATTCGGAATCATTTTGCCAACAACTAAAAAATATATATTTTTGTTAAATATTTTTTCTTGTGTAATTTTAATTTAAGTTATTTTGGTCTTGTAGTGTTCTTTTATTTTCATGCTTTTAAATTTTATTATTATAATTTAAAAATATTATTTTTTTTATTGAGAATAGAATATAAAAACTTATATTGAATGAGTGAATAATGAGTCCCACATATATATTTAAATGAATGCGTATGAATGCGTGGTTGTGTTTAAATGGAGACAGATTTAGTGGACAGATGATGTGGAGATGATGTGGATAAGAGAGAGTGTTACTTTTTATAAAATGAATGATATTGTATTAAACGGACGTGGATGCCCTTAGTAAGATAAGTATTTTCAAAATAATAATAGGGAAAAAAAATAATAAAATCATGAAGATTTAGATAAGAGCATCACTAGCAAACTAGCCCATATCTATTAATATATAAAGAGGCAACTTAAATAATTCTAAAATAGTAACTCAAAAATCATCTAAAATCCCGCCTAAATGTATTACTAAATATAGCAAACAAGTTTCAAAAAAATTGGAAATCCCGCCTAAATGCATTTTGAAATTTTGTTAAGTGCAATATGAACACAA